AAACTCTACGTTGACAGTACCCCAGATCGGGAACACGGGACCCGAGTGCCATGAGGCAGCACTGCACTGTGATGCCTCCACATACAACAGAATCAAATCCAAAAAACGATATGGTGGTGTGGTGCATTGCTTATGGTGAACCTTTAAAAGGTAAATTCCTGGGGCCTCTCAAGAGGCTCAATTGGAAAAAAGATGCTCACACTAGTGCAGGCTGAGCTCTGTGATCCTGGGTTATGTCACTAGCGGACTGTGACCAGTGGAGGAACTTGATGCAAATACTGTGGACCATTGTTCTCCCCTGTATTCATAGGAGAACCGGGCGGTATGTACCTAGAAAGCACTGAGCCATAAGTCAATGAAGGCTTAAAGCTCCAACTCTCCTCTGGGTGCAACCTGGAATAAATTCTCTGTTTTAGCTAGTTTAACTGCTGCCTCGAACTGCTCTCTACTAAGAGCACTATGTCAGTGACAGACTAAGACTTTAGGTCTTGTGTTGATGACCTACGGCTAATTTTAAAAAATGCCAAGACTTTCTCTTTTGCTCTTTTATTTTCCCCATGAAGCTCTTGGCAACTAAATACGTTACTCAGATTTACATTACATTTTATGAACTCAACCCCAGAACAAACCCTGGCCTTAGCCAGATTCAACAAAAACTTTCTCAAGTAGATGACAATTTAGAAAGCATCTGAGATGGTGAGGATTGTTCAGTATTGGGCAGCACCCAACGGCCGCAGCGGCTCGTATCGCTGCCTTGCAGAGACAAGGGCCCCGGTGCTACTATCTGCCTGGAATTTGTCAGTTCTCCCCGTGTTTGTGTGGGTTTCCTCCAGGTGCTCCAGTTTCCCTCCCACAGCCGAATGACATAACAGCAGATTAACTGGCGTCTGGGGAAAATGCTGCCCTGCTGCGAGTGTCTGTTGCTGTGTGCCCAGCAACGGACTGACGTCCTGTCCACGGTGTACCCCACCTTGCACCCGTTGCTTGAGGGGATAGGCTCCGGTCCCCCCACGACCCTGTACTGGATATAAAACAGTTAGCAGACGGATGGAAGGACATTCAATATTAGTGGTATAAACCAGTGAATCACAACAAGTGCATAAGACTTATAAGTGCATCTTTCTAAAGATTAGGTGGGTAGCTGCGTCAGCATGCGTAGGCTGCAAAGGAACAAGTAATAGGTTTATTCCATGCTGAAAAAAAGAAGAAAGAGAACACAACGTTTCGGCCGTGGAGCCTTCTTCAGGTGTCAGGTGTCACACCTGAAGAAGGCTCCACGGCCGAAACGTTGTGTTCTCTTTCTTCTTTTTTTCAGCATGGAATAAACCTATTACTTGTTCCTTTCTAAAGATTATACCGTTTAACCATTTACCGCCTGTCATGAGTTCTAAGGGGGTCCATACTTAGATGCAGAGGGGCTGTGCATGACGGGGGCCGGTGGCTCAGCCAGCAATGGGGTACAAACCGGCGGAGCGGCCCCGCCCACTTGCAGCCTCCCTGGCACTCCAGCCATACAGGGCTGCCGTCGCTGAACCCCTGCGGCCCTGTGGGCAGGCGAGAGGAGTCTGCCTGCGCTTCCTCATTCTGCTGGGTGAGGTCACGGTGTTTGCAGCCGAGCTGAGCTGTAAGTCACATGCAACTGGCCGGCCCAAATCAGGTCAGGATAGCAAAGAATTAAAGAATTGGCGATTCCAAATTAAAAAATAAATAAATAACAGATTTCATTTTCAACTGTATAATCTGATGACAGGGAAGAGTTTCCAGACACCTGTGTTCATATATTGGATATATACAATATATAAACAGTGTAGGAGAACACACGTATAGTGGTCCTGATCATTCCCATCCTAGAAAGGGGGTTTTACAGTAGTTGGCGTGATTTTTAACACGAAATAATTAAATGATTTATTCAGAAAGTTCCAAACCTATTTTAGTGATTTTTAATACAGAAAACATTGTCGTGAAAAAGTCTGATGATGCAAAAAACATGGTAAAGCTTACATTTCCCGGCCTGTGTAATGTAAGAGATATGTAGCCGATGCACGACTGAAAAGAAGGAAATACTAAAAGCATATTTTACAGTGCACATAATGTGGCATAAAGCACATATACATTGGATGCTGGCAACGTGATACTTTCTCAGTCTTGTTATGAATGACCGTTCTTGTCGAAATGAAGAGTCCAACACGAACACCACGCCTCAGCACCGCTTCTCTAGACGTGAACAGGACTGCTCTCCCCGGACAGCCCGCAGAGCCGTGAGAACTGAACTTCTTCAGTCACCATCTACGGCTCCGCTGATATTACCTGCCCAGAGCAACAGCAGTTTATTAACCACTTCTACTCGCTGCTGTCATCTGAAGGGGTCAGTGGGACCGATCCTTTCCCTCAGGCGGCATCCGCTAACTTTCGGGAAACACGCAAAGGTGTGCGGCATTCGCGGGACACGGCTTCACTCACAGCCGTCACGCAAAAATACACTCGGCTGCGCCGCCTAAAATGTAGGTTACTGATTCTATATCCAGTCAGGCGTGGTGACCCACTGTACATTTCCCCCAAACACAGCGCCTTAACCCTTAACATTAGGGAAGAGGCTATGCGGATCTGTGTAATGAAAGTGTATCCCTCACCGAACATCTCTTTCGGCCTGCTCCACGGAGAGAAAACGCCACATAAAACTAAGTGTACCTCCATTTTGACTCTTCGACAATAATGCCAAACTACTGAGATATTAATGAACCGCCTCAAGGAGACGGAACTTAAAACCCGAGAAGGCCCTGGTGCACCGAATTATCTCCCCTTTAAATATTGAATTATAACCAGCCCTGCCTGTCATTTGTCAAGCGCCGACAGAACAAGGGTATCGCAGTACACACAGACATCCCCACGAAACGAAACTACCCACATTGCATGGAAGTTAAAACAAAAAAAAAAACACAAACCTTCCGAGGTGAGCCGACAGAAAGGCCTCACCAGCTCTGAGAAATTCAGGTTGTTTTTCCGAGTCACTTTCTCCGCATCTTCGCTGCACAAGACGGCCACCATGGGCACGAACGAGTCCTGAATAAACTCCTGCACGGACTGGAGACACTGGGCCATGGCGGACACTGCGCTCTCGGTCGCTACGTCCGGAACAAAAATCCAAGCCGCGGAAAGATTTGTCTTTTGTTGTTCTTTCAAAGTTAACCACTAGCCCCAGAGTTGAAAACAACTCCCCTACTGACAGCCGAGAGCAGCCATGTTGGATTCTCCAGCTGCCTGCTGATCGATTTCATTCCCGTGGAGCACCGGGGCGGTCATGTGATCGCGCTCACCCGCAGGTCACGAGCCGCAGACAGCTGTGCACCAGGTATTTCCTGTGCGCTGGCTGCGGGGATACTTCGTGTATAGAAGGGGACGTTTTGTTGTTGCAATCCGAAAAGATATGTGTTGTGATGTGTGATGTCGTACAGTACAAGTCGCAAATTCAAATTGGACGACGCAATTTCGATATTTTGCCTTCCTAGCGATAAATATATACCTCGATACTGGTAACGTTTCAAAGCTTGAAAAATTGGAAATGTGGAGTACAAAGTCTAATGTGTATCACACATGAAAACACTGCTTAGCTATGTGTATCTTAAATTATTTTGATTATTTCTAAATCCGACATGAGGTTAGGTTTCCATTTTTTTCTTCTCTCGGTCAGAGAAACAAAGTTAATATAAAAACAAACCCGAGCAACGAGCGTGTTACAGACGAGAGGAGGTCATTCAGCTAACTTAGCCCTTTGGCAGTGAATTGATCCATGGAGCTCCTCCAGACGTTTCTTAAAGAAGTCAGGGTACTGGCTTCAACATCATGGCTGGGTAGATTGACCCACACTCACCACCCTTTGTGTAAAGACGTGTCTCCTGTTCTCTATTATAAATACTTCCCCAAAAAATCTCTTCATTCAAGCCAGAGTTGAACCAGTGACCCAAGGATAGTCAACAGCTGTTTCACTGCTGTCCTCCACTCTACCAGTTTGAAATTAAAGGAACTTTACTCTCTAAATACAGTTGTACAAACACAAGAGCACACCACAAATCCCACTACCACTGTAGTCAGCTTGCAAAAAAAGTGTAAGAAGGGAACCAAAACTGATTAAACTTTGAGACTTCGTTTTTATGAGTATACAGAAGTTCTTCTGCTTCTCCTAGCACAAACTGTGTGTTCAGAGGGATAATCTGACAAATGAGTTCACACTGAAAACTACAGAAACAGCACATTTGTTTGAGACAACAATTTAATGATATCAGGAGTAACCATCATTGGTCAAAGGTATTTATAATAAATTCTCCTTGTTTCAGTCTGGCCTCGAGATCACCCCTCAGTCAGACAGTTCTATACAGCACTGTTAAACAGGCATGACATAGGTTGTTTCATTATGCTGAATAACAATTTGTCATTATCATGGGTGATCAACACAGCGTGTGCTGATAAAGGCTCGCAGGGCATCGCTGGAAACAACACACACTCCACCTCTGTGAAGCATACTTTTCCCCGGGATGCTGAGGCTGTGTTGTGGGAGTCAGTCCTTTTTTCTTCTTGCAGATCCTGGACAAGCATATGTCTGGTGTACGAGCCCTAGACGCCACACACGTTTCCAGCTCGTTGTACAAGACATTTTGGGCATGACGTCACATTCCCACCTCTCAAGAAAGCCCTGGCAGTGTGAATCTGAATCTGTCTCCGAAGAACATCTTTTGGATTTGTGATGTTTTATAAAACATCCAGCTAAAAAAGCTGTCCCAGAGTTTTGTAGTCATTCCCTGCTTTCAAATCTGACTCCCTATTTGAAAACAACACTGATAAATAAATATTTAATTAGTATGTATCTTCCCTTTAATGAGATCTGCACTAAGCAGGAAACAAGCACAGGCTTTATAAATATAAGATTGGATGGAAACATATGAGATTCAGCTTCCTGTTCTGTAATACCGAAAGTGAAAATGTTGCTTGTTGGTTCGTGTTTTATGGTACAACAGCATCAGCACATTTTAAATGCTTTGTGGACTGCAGCACAAGCGAATCCTGCCTCGACCAGCTCTTCTTACAACTTGGTAATGTGCATTTTTACTAAGGCTCCTCACTTCAAAGCGATAAAATGAAAATGGGCATTGTTACTGTGTCGGAGTTTCTGACTATTTTCATAACATCTACTGTTTGTGTTTAGCTGATGTTAAGAATGTTCTCTTCTTATTATGTTGTTTCTTTTTCTGACTGTGCAGTAAAGTTCAAGTAAATAAAGTACAGTATGCATGTGTTGTAGGTTTTAAAAGAACATGTTTATTTCTACCATTCATTTCATATGCAAAACATTTATTTTAATGTTCTCTGAAAAGCTCAATATTTCCCCATGGTGCATTTAATGAGTGATACTAGCTATACCTGCTTATCAAGTTTATATATGACCATGTACAGTATGTATCTGTACAGCAGGTGAAAGATGATATTGTACAGCTTTAAACACAAGCATTGACACTACCTGTATACTGTATGTCAATGACTTGACAGAAGGATATCTGTTAAGAATAATTAAAGTTGTTTGTCAAGCTCTTAGCCACTTGTGAACAACTAATTCAGCCTGACCAGTACTAAAGCTATTCTGATGAGATAAGGTATTCTGAAGGTATTTTTTGTCATCTCTATATATAAAAATTAGATGCAAGACACAAGGCTACAGTACACAGCTACAATTTATAGATAGCTGTTAAATATTCTGTTAACTGAATTTTCAAATACGTCTTTTGTGGCTTCCTGGAATGTAGGGGATTTATGTGTTTTAAAAACATTCCTTCAGCATCACTGGAGATAGATAGCAGTTTAACGGGCGTTTTGGCATACCGTGCTCTCACACGCAAAGTAAATTTGGACCTGCTGTATATTCAGTTTTAAGTAGGTGCCCAACAGCTACCTTAAACGTTTGTTGTTTTCTTGCTTGAGGGGTATCGTGGGCATCATACGAAAAAGAAACTTTCACTTTTTGTTTGCCTTTTTCCTTTAAATGTGTGTGACGCAGGAAATGTGCAAGCATGACAAAGCTGGAAAGTCCCGTAAATATTTATTTCTCACTAAAGGCAACGGATTTGGTTCACTTCCACTTTATTTTCTATTTCACAGCATCCTGTTTAATACCCGGTGAGCACTCACACAGATATTAATTCAATGCAATTTGACATTTTAAAGCAATTTTAAAACAATTTCAAAGCTATACTTATGCAAATTATGCTGTATTGAATTTTTGCATGGAATGTTTACCTAAGAATACTACAGAAAACAATTATTATGGTAATATATAAGGATGAATTAGCACTTAAATTATGCACACATTTATAAGGCTGAGTATTTGTGCCTCAGATGTCTGTGGAGTACTTTTAAAATATTATGAGACTTTGCGTTTGTATAAATTGAAAATTAAGCAGTTTACACCTGTACTTGTCTTTAAAGCTTAAATGCTATTAAGCTAATTACCCTTCTGTGAATGAAACATAAAAATAGATCGCAGAGCTTCCTTCCCACCTCACGATGGGATCCGCTGAAGAAGAAGGAGCCAGGCCGCCCGCAGAAGAACCATTCAGCGATCTGGATCTCTCGGGGGATTTTGACTGTCCAATATGCCAAGAAGTCTTCAAAACACCCATCAGGACCAAAACCTGCAAACACGTGTGAGTAAAATGGACTGATCTTTTCACTGAGCCCCTGAATTTAACATTTGATGGACGTCCTATTTTGCTTTTCTGCATTGTGCAAGAGCTGACCCCAGCTAATGATAATCGTTACTGTATGTGGAAGGTGAGCTTGTAGATTTGAACACTGCAGTATCTGCACCCCTTCACGAAACAGCTGGGAGGGGAGAGTGTGGGGGGCGTGGCTTTCAGCGATGTTTCCTCACGGCTTCGGGGTCCTGCGTTCAGTCCTGGGTGCTCCGGTTCCTTTTCACCTCCAAATGACACGTTGACTCAGCTGGGCAGACCCCTTGTGTCCTGCACAGCCTGTGTTTGCTCTCCGTCCTGCGTTGCTGCCCACTGCTGTGACTCTCTCCCGGATGAGCAGCTCACTGACCCTGCACACAACACCTCAAGGGTGAAACTGGA